CTCTCATAAGCTCCACATTCAGGATTCTGCTGCCACTTGGTGGCATCCACTCTCTCTTCCTGGCCCCAGGAATCCCTCCTTGCATTCCAAGAGGTAGCATTTGTGAAAAGAGTGCATCTGAGCTCTGTACTGTAACTGCCCTTCGAGTTCCCAGGACCCATTCTGGAACCACGAGGAGCTTTTCCAAGATCATAATTTCCTGTTTGGATCTACACAAAAGCATCACGGATGCTGGCAAGAATTCTGAGAGGATCTCAGGTGCTTTATGGGCAATTTGTAAATGAAAGAGTTTTACCAAATCTGGCAACGCCAGAAGTATTTTCACAAAGCAGACCAAGGTCTGTGTCTGTCTGCTTGTGATTCTGTTCTGCAACACTTGCAGTCTCAAGATCAGGACCAGGTGGGAAAAGAAACTAATCTAGATCGTTCCTCTTCTTCGCAGAGATGGAAAAGCACAGTTGTCACAAGAGCTGGAGGAAAGCCAGACCTGCTTTGGACATACTGTGATCTAGTGAGCTGCAATGTTTCCACACTGCATTTCACTTTCTGAGGCCATGGGTTGCTTTGCTCTGGGTCAGCAGCCACAAGCTGCTCAGACAGGATGGGAGGTGGCACTCTGTGTGGCAAACCCATGGGAAGTACTCCAGGTCCACCTTTCCTTTGGAGGCCAGGAGGCACCATGTGCAAATGGCAGCAGCAGTGAGGAGGCTCGTGTAGCTGGAAGAGACATCCAGCACAGGGCAAAGCAATGTGCCTGCCCAGCAGGTGACCTAAGTAGGGACACTTGCTTTGCAAAGGACTGCAGGGAACCTGGCCCAAGCCAACAGTGATCCTGCAGATGAAAGGAGTGATGTCTAGAGTTGACAGCATTCCTACTCTCTTTCATGTAAAGACAAAGTTGAAATCCACCCAGCTCCTGCAAAGATGATGAGTTACCGAGGACCTTCTGCCCATCCCATCCTGGTCCCCTGCCAGGTGGGAAGAGCTGCACCTCTTTCCTCTTGAGCTTTACCCCACTGCAGCCCTCCAGCAGCCATAGTAAAGCAGGGCAGCATGCTACCCTGCCTGGGGAGAGCAACACAAGACAGGCACAGTGACATCGGGAGCAGCAAAGAGTGAGAATAAGTACAACAAGATGTGACCCTTGAGGAGGGAGAGGGGTTATCCAAAAGCAGGACAGGGAGAGGAAAATAGGATAAGGGTGTTGTGGGCAACATATACTAGAAAATTCTGTACCGTGGTGCAATTCTATGTTGGCAGGACACTGTTGCCCAAAGGCACTTCATACTCAGGCTTGCAGAGCAGGGATTCAAGTCAGAATCACTGCCGCAGGCCAAGAGGACGTCTTCTTGACAGACACCAGAGCTGTCCCTTCTCCTGCTGTACCTCAGCTCCTGAGCTGTAGGGGAGGAAGGGATGGCCAAAGAGGGAGGGCTAGAAGTTGTAAATGCTGGGACAAAATCAGCATCAAAGCCATTGCAAGCTCAGCAGCTGATATTCCACACTGCTTGGTCTACTATCAGTACGTGCAGATAGGAGGGAAACTTTGAGGTCATCCATATTGAGTTGTTGAGCATGTGGGCCATTGGGAAGAGCCCTGGGTTTGTGCCAAGGCCCATGTGGCTGTGAGCAAGCCCACTAGCCTGGCTGAGCACACTCGTCTTCCCCTAGATGGAGGCCAGCTAGCACTCTATCTTCCTGCTCCCTGTCCTTTCTTGCTGCATCTTGTTTCACGAAGGAGGAGGCACTGTGTGAGGCAAAGGCCACGTCTGTGCTGCAGGGCTATCTCTCTCTGCCTGGGAGACCTCAAGTTTTGGGGTAACTGGCTTAGGCAATTAAGAGCGGTGGAAGATGCTGCAGAAGTTCTGGGACTCGTTACGTGAACACATCAAAGAAGGTCCCTCCTTCATGTCGGCACTCCGTGCAGACAGCTCTGAAGAACCCCTTCCAAGGACAATATGAGGGAGAACTCCAGTAACCTTACAGTGTGGAGCCCTGCCAGTGCTTGGAGCAGCCGCTTTGGCGGCTGCTAAAGGGGCGCCTTCTCCGCTTCCACCCTAATTGCCCTTAATTGGCTCCTGCCTGTTGGCAGCAGAACAGCAAGGGCTCTCCAAGGCTTACTGCGCCGCAGTGACTACGCTTGGAGAAGGATGGCAGGCCCCTGCCTTGCCCCGCCTCCCTCCTTCTATCCCCACCCACAAGAGCAATACAATAGCCTTCCAAAACATGGCTTTTTCTGTCTTTGTAGGACTCTTGTCTTTCCAGGCCCTGCTCCTGACTTCTCCAGAGGGAGCTTTGCTGGGCCAGTGGGGCGGAGAACTGTGTAGGGCCTGTGTCCCCTACCATGGGGGTGTGCACATGGTGGGATTGAAGTGAGGGGAATGTAAGCATTGTCCCTTCATCTAGCAATGAATCCTGCTGCTTGCTGGGGCTGCAGATGAAACCATCAGAGCTTTGAGGCCCACCATGCAGAACTAGCATGCTGGGGCACTCATCCCACCTCACACAAAGTCCCACCTTCTCTAGAAGTGCTGTCGTCTCAGTGTAGCCAGGAGCTGCCCCTCAGGCTGATCCCCACTGCCACATTCCCTGGGGAGTAGAGAGGACCCCTCTCCTCTGCCCTTCTGTGTCCTGGCGCAGAGCGAAGGCACATGAAGCAGAGGTCCCCCACTGCCCCTGTTTGTGAGAAGGGCTCTTCAGGACACTCTGGGCCACAGCAGCACTCATGGCTCCAGTTTCCTGCAGCAGACCTCCCTGCCCTTTCCCCAGTGCATGGTGACCCCCACACAAGCCCTCCCCTTGTGTCTGCAGGCAGCTAGGAAGCCCACAGCACGAAGAACACTTTGTAGCCCCGTCGAGGCATGTCCCCGCTGGCTGCCTCTCCGCTCCCAGGCAAGCCAAAGCCTTTCCACAGCAACAAAACATAGCCCAGCATCTCACCAGTCCCTCGTGGTCACCTGTGTGCCAGCCTGGGCCAGCGTGTGCCGGCAGCAGGCACCATGTGAGCTGGTTGGGGCTGGGGAAGGCAAACACGGGCTCCAACACAAACCAGACTCCGATGGAGGGAGCTGCGATGTCTTTCCCGCTGAGGTTATTTTTACTCTGTTTATCAAAGGCTTGCTGCTCTTGGCATCGGGGTGGCAGGCTATTTTTGGATGCCTGCTTCACCTCTGTGCAGAGATGGGCTGGCATAAGCTTGTCTCCGCTTCTGCCTGGCACCCGCTGGCCTCCCTCAGTCCCTGAGGTTTGCCCTGCTAAGGTCATCGCTGCCTGCTTGCTCACATGCAGAGCAACCTTTTAAGCAGGAGGTCTGAGCTCTAGCGCAGCTTTGTAATTAATCCTTATTAACAGAACTCCTCTCATCCATTCCTGCTATCAGCGGTGACACAGCTGCTTGGGTGTGGGCAAATTACGCACTTTGTCCTGCTATTGTCCTTCAGGATGGTGACATTTGTCCTGACCTAAGCCTGGCTCTCTGTAGCTTTGCATTCAAATGATGCCTGTGCAGCTGGTGGTCCACGTGCTGCTGGCGTGCTGCTTTGCTGCCATTGCCCTTTAAGAAGAGCAAGGCCATATTTCCATACCGGAAATATGGGACAAGTAACTAGGGCAGGCTGACTGAACTCAACACATGTCCTCTTCTCTGTGGATGGGCAAAGGCTATGAGAGGTTTCCCTGAGGTTCGAGGTCAGGAAAGGTGGTCTGGTAAGGCGAGGGGGCTCAAAGTAACTTCAAGGAGATGGTAGGGGTGCAGCAATTGTGTGCCAGAGTCAGTGACAACACAGACTAAAATGGCAATGCAAAGCAAGCAACCAGGACTTGAGGTTAATAATAGGCTGCTTGAGCCTTAACTGTGCAGAAGAAAGTCTGTCCTTAAAAGAAGCTCACTGGGACAGTGCTTAGCTTCAGTAAAACTTTCCACGAGAAAGAATAAATTATTGGCCTCATTACTGAGCATGGCCCACACAAAGCAATCGGCACTAGCTGTGCTGCCCTTGGGATACAAGGAGACAGGTCCTAGAGAAGTTGCCATCAGCGAATTCAGGGATTTCCTTTTGCTAACAAAGCACAAATCAGCTGAAGGAAGATTTGCTACATTCAAATATGACTTTGGAGAGTCAAAGATATGTAGAGGCCAGGAATAATGACAGAAGAAAGCCACTGCTGGCCTCTCTGAGGTTTTGGACACAAAGAGAAAAGACGTGGCTCTTCTTACAGGAAGGAATTGGATTAAAAGGTGAAAAACACCTTCAAATCTGGCAGGGCTGGCTGGATATCCTCCAAGCTGGGAAAGTATGCATAACCATGCTCTTCAGTCCTACAGGGGAACAGATTTCTCTGGAATGAAAGAATGGTGAGGGCACCAAAGCCCTATTTGCATATGCTCAGGAGAAAATTAGGGGGAACTCATTGCCATCTGTGACGGTAGCGCTGCCTTTTCCCCGAGTCACAATCTGCATGGGCAAAGCAGGCAGAGGGGGGTAGAAATTTAGGGTTAGAACTTTAGGGGTAGCAGATCAGCAAGCAGGAGCTCAGTGGTGTAGCAAAATAAGGAGCAAAAATCAAAGGTGAAACACGAGGCAGGGAAGGGAAATGCTACTCCACACTGAGGACACATTGTGATATCCAACAGTACCCACAAGTGCCAGTGTGTGTGTGACTGCTGTGCCAGCTTGGGGCAATCTGTCTGGGGAAACACGGCCACTTCGACTTCTGAGTTAGGATGTACTCATGGCAAGTCACTTTGTGTGCAGAGGCTGCTGACACGTAGTGAGAGGATGAGGAGAAATGGTTATAAAGTGGAAGAGAGTAGATTTAGACTAGATATTAGGAAGAAATTCTTTACTGTGAGGCCTGTGAGACACTGAAACAGGTTGCCCAGAGGTTGTAGATGCCCCCTCTCTGAAGATGTTCTCAAGGCCAGGCAGGATGGGGCTGTGAGCAGCCTGGTCTAGAGGGTGGTGTCCCTGCCGGTAGCAGGGGGTTGGAACTACATGATCATAAAGGTCCCTTCCAACCTGTGGGTTGGTGTGCCATTCTATGACTCTATGATATGATTCTGTGACATGGGACCACAGTGCTGGCAAGAGATCAGACTGTGAGGATGGGGATGTGAGCAGATGTTGCTGTGGTAAATAAAGGTTGTGCCACATGGCACGTTCATCATGAAAGGGTCCAAAGGAAAAGTCATGCCCTTGGCTCTTCCTCTTACTAACAGGGAGGAACTGTGAACTGTATGATGAGCAGGAAACCTACAGCAGCAACCACGAGAACCTGGAGCCTGCCTGGATGAGGGATGAGCTCACGGTTCCCATCCAGAGACCTCAAGAAGACAGTTTTTTTGGAGGTAAAGTAAGGGAAAGGAACAAAGAAAGACACACACTACCAGCCAACACCAGGCTTTGCAGTCTCCTGCTGAGCTTGCCACTTACCCCAATGCCTGAGCCGGGAAGACCAGCCCTGTGGGCCATCACCCGGCCCTGGGTGACCCAGGAGAGGAAGGGAGGAGATGGCTTAGCACTCAGCAGCGCTCCTCTGCTCAGGGCAGCAGGACTGAGAGGCAATCTGAGGCACAGCAGCTGCTGTGGAGACTGCCCTCTCCTTTGTGGGGAGAAACAAAGAGCCCGGGGAGGGAAGGAAGTGACTTCTCTGGAAGCGGCTGTGGCAGTGGGGTGAGCACCCACTGCTTTTCAGGACGATGACGCCCCTTCTCCCGTCTCCTCTTGCTTCCCATTCGCTGCTCACACCCCTTCTCCCTCCCTGCATAGTGACTGGGAGACAGGAAAAAAGAAAAAGAAAAAAAAAAATACAGAAAAAGGAGAGCAGGAGGAAGCGCGTGAGGAACGTGGGCTGGCAGGCAGACAAGGAGGGCAGCCGGGAGCTGCTGCCAGGGCGCTGGGGGCTGCGGGCACCTACGTGCGGCCTGCGGCGTGCGAGGGCCATGGGTGCCGGGCCACAGGCAGGCCTGCTCCTCCGCATGCCCCAGCCGGCAGCCCAGCAGCTGGCAGCAGCGCAGTGGTGGCAGGCTGCAGCTGGCCATGGGTGGCACGTGCCGCCCGGCACATCCCCAGGGCCGTGTGAGTTGATCGTGAGTTTCCCAGCGGGCTGGAAGGCTTTCCTGGCACCCCAACCCACCTGCTGGTTTTGGCTCAGGAGAGAGGAACTGTGACCGTCCCAAGGCCATGCGCCTCCTCCTCTGATGCCATGCTCAGGAGCACGCTGCTTGCCGGCCGTGCCAGCAACATGCAGGCTGTGCCCAGTGCCTGTGCCCTCGAGCTGTCCACGGGGCAGAGAGAGGTCCTTACAGTCCTGCCCACAGACACCTGCCCACATTCACCCCAAATGTACACTCCACGCTCGGGCACGCTTCCTTCTACATTCACAGCAAACCCAGAGAGAACGCAAGGGAATGTGCAAAGACGGTGGGAAGAAGAGGGAAGACAAAGGGAAGGCAAGGAAAAGAAAGGAAAAGAAGAAAGGAAAGAGCAGACACAGTGGAGCACTTTTTAAGATATGACTTGTTCCCATGCATCTCTGTGCATTATGTCATGGGCCAGCTAGGAGTTAACTAAACCTTTGTCTCCTCCTCATCTCCCAAAGATGAGGTTTCCAGCTGTTTCACAGCCGGAGGTGTGCTGAACACATGAGTCAGCAGCTTCGGTAACAGTTACACACACGTCGGTGACATGGCTGGGGTTGGAAAGTCCCAGCAGTGTCAGGCACTGGACAGCAGGCACGTAGCAGCTTGGCTGCTCCAAGCTGGCCCTGGCGTGACCGCAGCAGGGTTTCTCCATGCGGTGGGAAGCACGCACTGCTTTGAGGCACTTCCCACTGCCACGGCCCTCATGCTGATGGCTGCCAGCCATGTGTCACTGCTACCAGCACCTGCATTCACCATCTTTTGGCCCAGACAATGCCCCTGGGCAGCATCTAGCTGTCAGAGGGCAAAAGCATTAAGGAGTGTTAAACATATAAGCAGCCTGGCACACAATGACTGCTACATGAAAGCAGCTCCTGACATCTTCCTATCCATACCGTACCTTGCTGGCCTGGCCCTGGCCCAGGCCTTGGCTCTGCCCCTGCCCCTCACCCCTGCAGCATAACAAACCACAGACATGCGGCACATTTGTAGTGTAAACATTCAGTGTAGCAAAACAATAATTTCCTTTGTGAGAGGTGATATAGGTTTCTTGAAGCAGATGTGTAAGTAAATACCTATAAAACATGACTAAGCTGCATTGGAGATAGCTTGCACACACTTCGCTCACCCTGGCCTGCCTTCACCATGCTCAGTGAGGTAGGACAACCTGGGCAGCCTGACTCAAAAAGCTACCGTGAGTAGCTATGCAAAGTCCATGCTTCTGGGTGCAACCCAAGCCTAAAGAGCAAACCAGACATGGGGGCTCTTCAGTGCCATGCTTTTAATGGATGAATACACAAAGGTCTGTTTGTCTGGTAGTTTTCTGCTTACCGTCATTCATGGCAGAAATGTGGGGCTAATTGCAATGCTTGCACCAAGTGAAGGTCCTAGGAGGTTTGGTACTGCCTTTCTGCCTCTGAAAATCACTCAGATTTAACTCCACTAGGAGCATTACACCTGAAGGCACGTGAGAGAAGCCAGGTCTTGCTGACAATATAGAAAACGTGTTGAATGCCCTTTTACAGGCACAGACTTTTCAGGGCAAGGAACCCCTGCCCTCTTGCTGTCCTCAACAGGAAGCAAGCAGGTCACAGGGGAGAGGAGGAAGAAGATCAAGAAGCAGAAAGTGTGGATGAAGAGCTGAACGAGTGACTGGGTCAGACAGGGAAAGGGCATGCGGAAGGAGCTGAGTTCAGGGATGAACTGGAAGGACTGGAAAGGAAGACGTTGCTCAAAGGGAACTGCAGGATAGTTTAAGCAGAGAACTACTTAGGAGAGGGGCTGCCTCCATGGCTGCCCAGCCTCCAGGTCTGGATCCCAAGTGAACAACACATAAGTAGCCACATGAGTGTAGAGGGAGATGAATGGGTGGGAATTACCAGCATCCGGAAGGTGGAGGAGAAAGGCAGACATAGAAAGGAGCAGGAAATGCAGAAGCAGCCAGGTCTCTGCACTGACAGGAGGCAGGAGAAAGAAGGAAATGATGAAGCAGAGCTGGCACACCAGAAACAGCCCGGCCCTGCTATGCATTGCCAGCGCTGCTCTGGGGAGCTTAGCATCTGAGTGCTTCGTTAGGGAAACGCCGCTCTGGAATTAACCTGCTTGCTAGTGAGATCATTCTTTCTTCCCAGCTGGAAACCTGACCCTGTCTCCAAACTTATTTTCCAGACTAGAAGCTGACATTCATGGAAAACTTTGGGCCCATGGTCTAAATATTGAGACTTTGAGCTTGTCAATGCTGAGGTTCAGCACTGCAGGCTACACAGCTACCTCAGATGTCCCTCTGCCTCGTTGCAGTTCTGCTGGTGGCTCAGCTGAGGAACAGGAGCACACCCATGGTGAAGGGATGGCTCATCACGCTCCACACTCAGTGGCCAGCTCCCAGGCAGTCCATGGGCTGGCTAGTCTGAGGTTTGCAAGAAAAGCAAACCTGATGGTCTGCAGACAGAGGCCAAATCCTGGTTGCAAGGGGCCAGGGCACAAGAGGGCTCAAATGGCACATATGATATTAGGTCTCCTGTCTGCTGCTAAAGGGAACCAATCCTATTTGCACCTCCAGCAGCAGCAGCAGCAGGGGACATACTTTTTGAAATGTTTTCTGGCTTCAAGGTTCCCATGTATGAATGTGGATGTGTCAAACACTCTCAGGCATGGCTTTTGTCATGGAGTCATGCCTCTGCCTAACCATTATCTTGCTTCTGAGGCTTGGGGCAATTTCCACCTGGCCATACCTGAGATGTAGGCCATGGTGTCGGCAGGCACACTACACCCTCTTGGCACCACCTGCCTTCCACGCTGCTTTTCCAGAAGCATTCGGCCCATATCCAAGGCAAACAGTAGTAGTGATGCCATGTCACTGCAAGCATCTGCAGGAGAGCCAGCCGCAGGCAAGCAGCCTTTGTGGAGCTTGGGGGGAGGCTGGGCCAGCTCTCGGCCCTCAGCCCAACATTTGCCATGACACCCAGATAATATTTGTATGTGGCTGGCAGGTGCTTTGGCTGAGGTGGTTTTTAAAGTGTGTGGTGAAGGTGTCAATTATACCTTGTTCCAGGCACTGTGGAGCACTTGAGGAGCAGCCAAGCTAGCAGGCATCTCCCCTGCTTCTGGTCTGGATTGCACACAGGCTCCTGCAAAGCTGCAAAAAGCAGCAGAGGGAAGCAGCAAGATATCTCCCCAGCAGGTACGTGTCCTCATGGCAGGTTACGTTACTGTGGGCAGCTGCCAGCCTCCCTCTGCCCCATTCCCATTTTGTTGGGAAGGGACTGGTGCTGTCCCACAAGAGGAAGGCAGACAGCAGCATGCTGCCAGCACCCCAGCCTTGCTCTGCCAGCTGAAGCCAGGTTCCCTGCTTGGTTTGGAGAGCTTGGAGCATGCCAGTTAGGAAGCCAGAGAGAACCAAAACCAACATGCCAGGTGTCCGGATGGATGGGGGGCCCCATGGAGGCGAGACTCCCCACTCCTGCTGCACTGAACAACCATTATCCAGGCTGCCTACAAAGGCAGTGGGCAGACGTGATGGCAGGCACAGCCACAGCTCGGCACTTGTGGGAACCCAGCGGAAACCTTCCCGCTTCCCCCTGGACTCAGCTCAGCTGCGCTGGCAGATTTGCATTGGCAGCCCAGCAGCGGGGAAACTTGCCCATCCCTTGCCCGCACACTGCCAGCGTCCTGCCAGCGCCCGGAGCCTTTCACCCGTGTGAACTTTTGTCTCTCATGTGAAAGGGGACCATTTTCAAAAGGATCGTTTAAACGTTGGCATCTTAATTAGAAGCGGGCAAATGGCAAGGGAGCCGTACCTTTGGCTTGGAGCACACCTTGGCCAAGGCACTCTCCTCTCTGCTACAGGCTCCCCTCTCCACCACCAGGTGCTTGGAGAACTCAGCTCACCCACTTCCTCCATCTTCTGCTGGCAGCCCACGTAGCACTCTGCAGCCCCCTGTCATTCCCACGTTACACATGGCTCGATACGTGCTCCCTTCATCCCCGCTCCCAGCCTCCTGCTGCTCTCCCAGCCCCAGCTTCAGCCCCCTCCTTGTCACCCCTCACTCCTGACCCTTTTGTCACCTACAGCCATTCAGTCCGTATCCATTACTAAATGAAGCATCCTCTGTGAAGAGGCAGAAAAGCACCGGCTGTACAATGTGCCCAGAATGAAAAGGGAAGGCTGTTAACACCGCTTGGAAAGAGGCCTGCATTTGACAACAAACACAGCCAAGTTTCGAGCTCCTTGCTAATTAGCCCATTAGCTATATGAGTATAGAAGGCTTCTCACCATCCCGTGCCGCTCCACTCTTGCGCTGCAGCCCCGTCACCTCAGGAATCCCCTGTCCCGTCTCCATGGCGCGGTGCTACGTAGGCATCACACCAGCGGCTGCCTGGCCACTCGCCTGCGCCTGGACGCCAGAGCCAGACGGGGATGGTTCCTCTCCATGGATTTTCTCTAACAGACAAAAGCTGCCTAAAAGAAAGAGTCAAATCCCAGGTGCTGACAGGATACTCAACCAGGAGACAAAGGCCATCCTGCAGCACCCCGCACACCCACGTGCTCACAGCATGCATTTCATGCATTTCCCCAGATTTCCCCTGAATGCCAGGAACACCCTGTGGAGAAGGTGCTGGGGACAACCCTGGGATTGGGGTCAACTCCCTGGAGTGCCTTCAGATGGGGAATGAGCAGGACCATTTCCATTCCTTCCAACACCACCACCTATTTGGCAGCTTTCTGGCAAACCCAGTTGGTCAACCTGGCAGAGTATTCATCCATCATCCATCCATCCATCCGTCCATCCATTATCCATCATCCATCCATCCAGAGAATGGGTTAAACAGCCTCTGCCCCACCCAGCAAGGCCAATCTGGGCTTCCAGGCATAGAAGGGAGAGGCTTACAGCTGGGGCTCATTACAGGGCAGCTATAAAGAGGGTGGAGGAGCTTCCTCCCACACTGATCAGAGGAGCCTTGCAACTGTGTGCCCCAGAGCCAAGGGATGAGGTCCAGGGCTTGTTTACTACCTCCTGTGAGACTGGGGAGCGGTTCTATTTGTGCCAAGGCGAAAGCCAGCTAGCCATACAATAAGGAATATACATAAACAATATGTTTATGTTTATGTTTGTGTTCCCCAAAGAGAGGGACTACTTGGTGACAACCTGCACTCTTTTAGTTGACTTCTTCAGATCAAGAAGGCCTGATCTGACAGGTTTGCCTTGGAGTTTTTATTCATCTAATGTTTCCCCCACCAGGAAACAAGATGGAATATGGTTTCCTAACCCTTTCCTAAGGATGCTCATAGTGCCAGTTGATGATCTGCAGGGACAGATGCACCTCTGCTGCCTGAAAATAGAGGACTGCAGCAGCAAAGGGGCAAACCCACTCCTGCCACGCATGTTGTTGACTTGCAGAAATCAAGAGAAAGGAAGAGACAGCCAGTGATGCACATGGATATAAATGAGCGGCCACAGTATGCTGAGAGATTGACAGCCAAATCTTTAGGCGCTGAGCTCTCTTCGCACAGACAGGCTGTTCAAAAGTCTTGGAGGTCTTGGAGGAAATTCGTTAAATCCTAAGGGATAAACTAATGGCACAAGAAACGAAGGAGAAACCATTTTGTTCTGAGGATGGCATCTTGCCCGGTCATCGACAGATGAGTGGAAACCCACACACCAAGGGATGCCGGAAGCATGGCTTTTTCCCTTGGAACGATGAGGAGCTCCAAATGCAAAATGTATGAGTCATTCTCTCAAACACCACGGTCAAGAATGGAGGAGAGCAGGTCATGGTACTCCTCCAAGCTCAGCCCCCAGAACAAGCTTGCCAGATACCAAAATGAGATGTTATGATATATTTGGCTGGTGTAGCTGGTCTCCCCACTTCACACCCTCAAGCAGCAAAGCAGTGCTGGCTGGTAGAAATCAACAGTATAGACACAATCCCTTTCGGTTTCCAGTGAAAGCTGGGAATTTCTGGAGCTGTTTGTAGGTCCCAAGGATTTCTGGGTGAGCAGATGTACCTCTCCATCCCAGTAGGAATGAACAAGCTGCTAGGGCTGAGCTGGACAGCCAGAGAAGGTACTTTCCAAGGTCTGTGTTGCATTCTCCAACATGACCCTTTTCTTCTCCACCCAGAGCACAGGGGATTTTGTAGTCTCTTTGGGATGGCCTTGTCAAATACTCTTGACCTGCTACATGAAGCCCTGGAGGAAGGTATTCCCCTTGGTTTGATCCCCCACCATTACGGTGAGATAAGTGTGGAACAATCCTTTATTAAAGGGCCATGAGATCACTGAGGTCACTGGTCTGTAAAATCACTGAGAAGCAGAAAATGGATCATTGGCCTCTGAAAATCCTATAAAACTGTGGGGAATATCTCCATTCCAGCCCTCGTCTGCTCTTGACAGTTTTTTACACCACAGAGACCTCTCTTGCTTCGATGCTGTAATCCAGGCAACAGCCATCCCTTTCCTTGCCAGTGCCTCCCTTGATGCATACTGCGAATTGGCTTTTCTGTGTCATCGAGGCTTAGGGCCTAGTTTTTCAATCCACCCTCTGTGAACGTGCTTATCCTCCACGCAGAGACAGGCGTTGGCTTGAGCCACTCTTTGAGATGCTTTTGGGTTTGAAGGGGGCGGTTTGTGTGCTTCACATTGGGCTGAACTGCAAAGGCACAAGGAGATTTCTTGTGCAAGATGTGCAGCTGCAGGCTATGGCACCAGGTATGTGTGAAAAGGAAGATAACTCTGATCTACCTTTAGCAGAGTCCTTACAAAGGCTGGCACAGCTCTGAAGGGCTGCTGTGGATTAGCTTTCCTTGTCACCTTTATTTTGTTCTCCTTCTAAAGGACTGCTGCAAGGCCTAATGAAGAGTCTTCCATCTCTTGCCTTTACAAAAGCTCATTCAGGGACTGATGTTTGCTCCACGCTTGCATTTTACCCTGGTTTAGTGGTTTAACTTCAGCCACAATAAAAGGTAGTCTTCATCCATCACTTCTCTAAATACTCCCTTGATATCCAGCCAGAAAAGGATGAGAAATCCATACAGGAAGACTTCTCACCTGCTTATTGCAGACAAGAATGATGCAATGTGCCTTTCTGGTTGCGCCCATTTTTGCAGGGTTAGGAGCCTTTGACCACCCTGAGTTTGGAAATTTCTAGAGAAGGTACTTGGTATTAAGGTAATGGCAGCTCCTATGAGCTTAAAGAGGTGAAAGACTGACTGTCTAACCTTATGTCTCCTGGAGATGGAGAACAACCAATCCTGTTCCATTTTTAGGCACATTACATATCTGAACGTTGTTACAATTTCCCTTTCCTTTTCTTCTTTGCAGACTAAACAAATATAGTTCTTTCAACCTTTACTCATAGGTCATGGTTTCTAGGCTGCTTACACAGAGTCTAAGAAGTTTACACCTCTCTCAAATTGCATTGCCAAAAACTGGAGACAACCAGAAATCACAAGCCTTTCCCAATGCTGCATGAAATCAAATGGTTGCAGCATATGTGGTACATGTAGCCCTTTTGTTTACATGCCCCAGTAGAGGCATTTGTTTTCACATCTGCATGCTGCCAAGTCAGTAATGACACCCACCACCGCAATGACACCCATGCCCTTTTCTGAAGGCCTTGTTGCCCCCTGGATATGCACACTGTGGATTATCCTTCTAAATGCTGGGGTTTGCTTTTGCTCTCACTGAATTGCATCCTGTTTATATCCATTCCATCAGTGTCACAATCTCCTTGAATTCCCATCCTGATCTCCAAAAGGCCTGCAGCTGCCACTTGGCCAATCATTGGCAACAAATGTAATACACCTCTTCCAACTCAGCACCCAGGCAGGCCAGACAAGCAGCTCACCATATGAGTGCCAGGACATGACAGCCCCATCCCCTACAGCCCCAAAGCCCTGTTGTTTGAGGCAGTCAGGCTGCTGACAATCTACACCGGCCATTACTTCTCACCTTGCTGTCTTGGTCAGTCCTACAAAGAGCTTACCTCCTCCAGAGACCAGCAGGTCCACGGTCAACTAGCTGCATTTCCACTCCTTTGAGGCCAGGTACTATCTATCTGTCTTTTCTTCCTAGGCATCTGGAACCTCATGCCTTCTTCCTTAGGTGATTACAATCATGCTGGAGATGGTTTCAACCAGGATTTCGGCAGGGCCAGCTGACAGAGAAGGGAGAGCCTCACACAAGGTCAGCAGCGAGAGGATGAGGGGGGCCACGTTTCTGCACTGGCCTCTGCTCCCCTAAGGGAGCACACAGATGCCGATCCAGCATCTCCCACAACACAGAGGGTACGTGAGCCTTCAGACAGCATCCCACAGCATCTGGCCTGTTTACATAGCAGGGAGTTTTTGTTAACATCAGGAGTTTGGCCAACGAGGGGAAATTTTACAATTGCTCCACTGAGCTCTGTTGATTCAAAAGGAAGAGTTAGCTTCAAAGCAGAGCAGCCTCCACGTAGCTAGGCTCACGTAGCCCGGCCAGCTGCACAATGAAGCATTTGAGTGGAGGGTCTGCAGGCTGCTGGATGGATGCACAGCTTTCACACAGGGCATGGAGCACTCTCGCTAGGCAGCTGGCAGCCAGGGAACTGGGGAGCATCCTGGGAACAGGGCAGGCAGTGGGGGAACAAAGGCTGGGGCATGAGGCAGGGCTGGGGTGCTCGGTGACACCCCCTCCACCAGGCAGGAGCTGGCAGCCACCCTGGGCACCCAGAAAGGGGCAGGGGACCAGCAGGCCACTGAGTTCCCAGGCCCCTGGGGGACGCACAAAGTGCAGTGCTGCGCATCAGTGAAGGGGGCTGCCTTGGTCTCCCCTCCCAGGGCTGTTTTCTGTTTCTTTTCCCAGACAGGAGAGGCCCAACTCCTCGGTGAACCCTTTTGCCTTGTCCTTACCTCTAGCCATGAATGAATTTATTCTTTGCTCTGCTTTTTGGTCCAGCAGTTTTCCCAGCCGAGCAGTGAGAGGGGGAGGCGTGACACTCTTCGCTCGCTTGCATCTCCCCTGCCTGCCACAGAGCCAGGCAGCCCTGCACACCATTAATTACAGGGGACGGAAATGCCCGTGCCCGATATCCGGTGTGGCTGAGTGATGACAGCCCGCTAATCATTTCCAGGATTTGTGATTGGAGTTAAAGGGCTCGGTGCTCCCTCAGCAAGTGTGGGCAGACAGCTGGCGGAAGGGAGCAGCCCCTGCTTGGGAAGGGCAGAGATGAAATTGCATTGAGTATCGCTGTGTCTCTGGGGTGATTCATGCACCAGCCAGATGAGAGGAGATTTATAAACCTATGGGACCAGTACCCATGTCCCAAAGGAGAAGTCCCAACAGCAAGCAATTACAGCTTTGCCAGATACAGACCCTCCTCCTCACGTACCCAATCACCTCCATCATGACATCATCCCTCACCGCCTCATAGTGCTCCTGTGTGATGGCAGGTCCTGCCTGGGAGAAGCTTCCTATACAACTCCTCCTCACTGCATTACCCAGACACAGGAGCTCTGCTTGCAGGAACAACACTTGGTTAGAAATGGTTCCACCAGGTTTGTCCGGAGGTGCAAGACACTGAAGCCATTCATTGTTTCTCTTGTCTGACAAGAGACTGACAAGAGAAACAAAACTGTGCTGGTTGACTTGGCTCATTAGTCTGGAGCCTCTTGGCCAAGAGCAGCTTTAGGAAGACCCCCGACCTGCTGCCATTTCTATGTGCAGATCACAGCTGCTGCCTCCATGGCTCCGTTGGAGCTTCTCATGTCTTTGCCTGAATCAGTCAGCTTGAATCACTAACGTCCCACCATGCCCACTGACCATGTCTCTCAGTTCCACATCCACGTGGTTCTTGAACACTTCCAGGAATGATGGCCCCACCATGGTGGAGCTAAACATCGAGGCTATGAGGCAGGAAAGGAGCCTATAAGTGCCTGCCATGGTCTTCCCGTGCATCTCCACCCTGCCCCCAGCTAAGATCTTCTGAATGGAGGCTTGGGGCAAAGTGCTGTGGAAAAGGGCTGGAGAGGGTTGTGAAAAGGGGAGCCAGCAAGAGGGTGGGATGCCTGGAGGGCTGCAAAGAGGCTTTTGAAGAGTTGTGTGAAAGAATAGATTGGGCCATTCAATGGAAGTTAATGAGCTGTCAGTGGGACATGAACAGGACAGACTGGGAGCCTTGGGAGCCTCCTAGGGCTTGACAGCCAACTTCTGCAAGAGGGTCATCATTGTAAGCAATCCCTCGTGTCAATGCTACACAAGGAGCTTTGGTGCCAAACCCATATATTTTGGAATAATCCTCATTTCTTGATTTTCCAGATAAGATTTTTATGAAGATTACTTGTTCCCGATTTAAAACCATGCAGATGTGACTTGTTTTCAACTCTCAGGTGGCTATATTCTTCTGACTGACACGAGCAGGGGTGGGACATGGATAGATGTGGCAGCGTGGGACATGATTAGTGGGCATGGTAGTGACGGGTTGATGTTTGGACTATATGATCTTAGTGGTCTTTCCAAACAATAATTAAACGGTTCTTTGATATCCTTCAGAGGTCACTAGCGCAGGAAACTCTTCCTTATTCCTTCTTTAGCTGCCAGATGCAGAGTCTGACAGTCTTTTTCAGCCCCCCAGCTGCCCAGCAGGGCCAGGAGGATGTTTGCAGAGAGCCTGGAATGAAATCCTCATCTGTGAGGTCTTCTCTCCCTCCTCACAGTCTCAAAGTGGAGCCCAGTGCCCAGCTAGGAGCTACTACAAGCAGTCACTATTTGATGTGAAATCTCCACCCTAGGCCCAGGGCTCGAGATAGATACAATTAACAGATTTGATGAAATAGCTCAGATAAAAGAAGATGCCTGTTGAATGCTGTACCAAGCCCTGCCCAGGGCTCTTCACATTTTGAAGAGCAAACATGCAATCGGGAGTGGGAATTAATTACCAGGGCCGGTTTATCACGGCCCTCCCTCCCTGCCTCTCACGGAGGCTCACACCCCATCTCAGTGCCAGGCTGCACGTACGGCGGCAGTGCTCTGACTAAGCCTCGCCCAGGGCTCACAGGCAGCACAGTCCCATCCCTATGGCCCAGCACCTCCTGCTTCCAGGCAGGAGGGTCCAGTCACACTCACGCATCTTCCTACGATGCAGGAACTGCTCCCAGATAGTGCCAGTTCCCTCCAGGTGACTCCTGGGGATGCAGCTTGCTGACTAACTGGGGAATGGCCAGGGGACCAAGAAAAGCTTAGGGATGTCCAGGTGCTGATTTGCTTCCAGGAGCAGGACGGTAGCTACTGAGCATGCAGACAGTGCGGGCAGTGTGCTGGAGGACCCAGGCCCAGACTTAGAGCAGAGCTGTGACACAGGTACCAAAATAGGACTGTGCACCTGCAGCTGTGGGTGGCGAGGGGTGGGGGACCCCAGCCCAGCCTTCTCAGCGTGCCTCCTGCACAGCGTGGGTGGGCAGCATATGGCCCTGTCTCCTGGGCCCTCCCCTGGCTCCTGATGGGCTGCATCTCCCATCACCCCACAGTGGCCTCTTCCGCCATTGGTCCCCAAGAGCTGAGTCCATCAGTGGTGTTCAGATCAGCCCGTCCCAAGTTGTTGGAGCAGTTTTGCGTCTGCATGTCTGAGCCATTCAAGTCCCTGCCACCACTGTGTATGAGTGCTGCTTATGTCTTTCTTTTGTGCTGGATCCTGGTTCGAATACATGGCACCTTGATCCAGAAATGGCCATGACAGGGCTGCAGCTTGCAGAAAATGGTTTGGGTCGTAAGGAGAACTTGGAGAGTTTTTAGATTTTGGGAGACAAGAGAGCGGATGGAAAATATGCCAAGGAAGAAAGAAATCTTCTAGCAAGCTGAGGGAGTGGGGTTTGTGGGAGGACACTGCTTTGCAGGGAGTGTACTGTGAGGGATGGCAAAGCACAAAGTCTGCACACACACAGCGATCCCTGTGTGCAACGTGCTGTTGGAGCAGTGGCAGGGAAGAGATTCCAACATGACTCAGATGCGCGCTTACTGAGAGGAAGGAAAAGGTCCAGAGGACAAACAGCAGGCAGTCAGGTGGAAAGCCTCCTCCCCAAAGCACCGATCCAGCCCTCACGTACTGCAGGTTCCTGGAAGCAGGACCGCTGCAGCAGGAGGAAG